CAGGCATCCACGAGCATGCTAGGATCTGATTGGCTCAGGCAGTGAGTGTGAGCTGCCGCTCAGGTGTCAACGTTCTCTTAATTATAGTGAAACTACACAACGATGAACCAACTATGTGTGAGGCCTTGAGGCGGACTTCAAACAAGTATAACAAGTACGCTTACGGTAAGTGCTGTCTCCATCTGTCCATGAGTATAATTAGTCAGATAAATAGACTTCCTTTAACTTTGAGAGACTGGATTTGCAATCTGCTGTTATTTTATGTAGAATAACAATCATGTAAAAATATGAGTGCAAGTGTGTGCGGCAGTCATATGGACTTAAACCACTACAAAAAAAAAAAAAAAAATCATAAACATGCACGCACTGCAGGCTGCATTTGGTTACATTTAATTAGCTCTCCAGCTGTCCAACTCCACTGCAGCATAACAAAATCTTGATTCAGTTTGAACATTTAAAAATTACGTAATGTAGTGGAACTTATATTATAGTGCCTACTGCAATTCTCACTCACCCTATCACGCATACATTCATAACTCAATTCAATTCGATTTTATATGCATGTACAGCTCCAAACCATAACAACAATAGAAAAACCCAACAATCAAACTACATCCTATGAGCAAGCACTTGGTGACAGTGCAAAAGAAAAGCTCCCTTTTACTAGGAAGACCTTGTGGTTCAGCTTCTTGCTCAAGGATACTTCATTACATGGAATGGAGAAGCTGGGGATCAATCAGTGACTGGCAGACACCTTTCACCAGTTACCCTCTCATTTCCCAATTATTTTCCCACATTTATCATTTTAAACCCAAAGATCTGCTTTGGTAACCACGACACCATCTGTACCTACAATCTCACCTCCTGAAGTTTCACAAGGAGCTACAGCGGTATGTCTGATACAGGTTATTACGTCAAAATGGGATTATAGGAGATAGTAAGAACTTATAAAATTTGCTTTCATTTTCAATCAAACACTGACAGGAGTTAAGTGTGTTCCATAAAGACATACAAGTACTATTTTTGTGCTATTAGTTACATTCTCACCCATATCTGAAGCTTTATCCTCTTGTCATTCCTGTAGATGGTCTTGACCTTAAAGTCGATGCCCACAGTGCTGACAAAGGCTGGCGTGAATGAGTCATCTGCATAGCGGAAAAGGAAGGAAGTCTTTCCTACGCTGCTGTTGCCAATGATGAGGATTTTAAACATGTAATCAAAGTTTTGGTCCGTAGACTCCTTCTGCCCGTATGTGGCATTTGCAGACGCCATCTACGCAAGGATAAGGATCAGTAAGTTATAAAGAACAAAAGCTTGAGGAAACAGCGTGCAATGTTACTTTGCATGAAACAGCAGAAACACGTTACAGTATGCACAGTACAACAACTTAAAATACTGCAAACTACATTTGTGCAACCTGAAAAAACGCCAACAAATTTGTTGCAGATGTGTTGTATTTGTTCTATTTACTTCCAGCAAATTTGCAGGCCATGTATTCGTGACAGTAACTCCTTAATTAAATAAACAATTCCTCTGCTGGTGGCTGAGAAACTTTATGGTTGGTGCAGTACCCATCAGAACATTTTTCCACCCACTATTCCCTCAGCCAGCAGATCAGAGCTTTACTAACCCACAAAAAGCCAGTTTAATTGCTTTATATACTCCTAGAATTATCTACAAGAGTAGAAAATTATTTATTAGTACATTTATTTTGTATTATATTTACTGTAAATCTATATCAGAAAACTAATTAGTAACTATATATATATTTTTGTAGTGAAATAAATGCTGTGTCCACTCTTTACACAAGGAGTGTCAAACATAATGCCTGGCCCTTTGGATGGCTTTCAAAATTGTGAAGCCGGATATAAATTCAAGACTTTTAACTGTATTTTCACAGGTTTTACAGCTTTTTCTACAAATAAAGAGGTCTCCCAGGGTCATTCATACTACACCAAAGCAATGAAGTTATAGATTTCTGTAGTTTTACAAGTTAACTTCTTATAATTTAAGCTCAAAGAGTCACACTGGCATATTTCTTTCATTTACTATAGCAGCATTTCTTTCTCGTGCAGAAAAACTGAAGCATACTTCTGAAATGGTGCTTCTTTTTCTTATATTAACATATCTGATTATATTAGCATATCTCTTTCTGTACACTGAGAGAAAGACATTTCATTGCCCACATAAAAGCGAGCTGTATGTGAACTCTGATGTAAAATGAGCTTGACATCCATGCTTTAGACTCTCTCCTGCAAGCTGTAGGTACTGTTGCTTGAAAGAGAAAGAGGAGAGTTTCTACCAGCCTTCAGCAAAATTTAGTAGAAATCTGTCAAATTGAAATATGCTGGCACATTAAAGAGCTTTTACTTTATTTTTCTTCATTCAGATCACTGCGTAAAAGAAACCCTTAAACTATCTGATTAGATGGTCTGGTG